ATCATAGCCGGACCCAGATCAAGATTCACGAATCGAGACCCATGATTCTCCATAGCATTGCCCTGTGCACCGCTCATGACGACATGTCCAGGTGATTCCACTACTGCTCCAATGCCCTGCTCCAACCAGCTCTTAGGCATAACACTCACATCGGCACCACTGTCCAAGGTTACTTCTACCAACCCACCTGGCGCGCACTGGCCTTCGGGATCTCCTCCCAATTCGTTCCAGTCGCTCTCGAAGCCGTCAACTCCAAAGACCTTCATGTACTCCACCCAGTCTTCGTCACCTGGCAGAGCATCACTTTGAGACATATCGAAACCCTCACAAGCTTCTTCGGGATAGGCTTCACAATCGCAATCTTCTTCGTCAAGATCATAATACACTGCATGAACCACATTCACCCACCATGTGTCCTCATCCTCTTGAAAGTGATGCTCTCCACTCTCCAAATCGAACTGCTCAAACACGGGCTTACAGCAACTCTCATCAGCGGCGGCAAGATTGAACACTCGCTTCACATTGGCTCGGGAACTCTGAGAGGCTTGGGAGGTTTGGGCTGTTGAGGTCTGTGCTGAAGACGAGGAAGCAGGATGCCCCGAGAGCAAAGAGTTCGAGACATTGGGCTCTGCGACTTGATTCACCTGATTCTTCATCCAGCACTCTCGGGACCAATGGCCTCTCTTCCCACAGATCCGGCAAGTGTCGTCTTGTTTGCCACCTCCTTTGCCCCAACCTTTGCCTTGTTCTTTCCCTTTGCCTTTGCCACCCTTCTTGCCTCCATCCTTTCCTTTAGGATGGCCCTTCTTGCCACCACCTTTGCCCCAGTGACCACTCCCACCGAACCCTCCTTGAAACCCTTTGCCTTTAGGCCCCTCCTTTCCTTTGCCTCCCGGTTTTCCTCCTTTGGGGCCTTTTGAGTACTTTCCTTTCCCAAATCCTTTGCCATAAACCGCATCCACCTCCATGGGCACAGGTCCTTCATTGAGATTTTGGGAAGACGAGGAAGGATTCACCAGAGCTTGGCTCCACTTCTGAGAGGTCCGCTCCCAGCGCAACACAAGCTCGCGCAAGTCGCTATAGGTCGTGGTCTCGTTGATGGACATACTCACATGAGTCTTCACTTGTTGAGGTAAAGTTCGTAGCAGGATGGCTGTTTTCATATCTTCTGACACATCACCTCCCGAAGCAACCTGGTACTTCTTGAAGAGTTCCTCCATCTTCAGCAATTGTTCAAGGAGGTTCTGATGGCTCATCACTGGGTACTGGGCAATAGCACCAAGTATCGCCAAGGCACGACCCTTGTTCGAAGGAGCAAGCGTGTTGAGTAAACATCGCCAAGCCTCAAAGCCATTTCCTTCTTCGACTGACCTTACAAGCTGTAAAGGACGATCCTTCACCATGCCTGTCAAAAGAGCATAAAGCTTTTGAGCTTGTTCTTCAGCTTCAGGAGTCATCTCTACCAACGAGGTCTCTTCGTTCAGCTGCATCTCTACTTCATCCATGGCCTTGCTCATGTTGCTATCGATAGCCCGAACATACTGTTTGAAAGACCATTTCCACTCACCAAACTGCGCTATTTCGTCCTCACGGGTTTGTGGCCTAAAGATGTCGGGCCTCGGCAACAGTCTTGTCCATGTCCCAGCATCGCTCTTCGGCCTCGCAGCAGCCAAGGACTCTACTGTCTTCTGCAACGCCACAGTCTGCTCTCTGTTTGCTTGCAACATCTGAGCGAAAGCATCCATCATCTGCAACGACGGCATGGACTGCGCAGTTTGAGACGTAGGCGAAAACGGATTTGGTTGGGGACTTCCGGGGTTTTCTGGTACATGTCCTTGCACACCCTCCATGAGCGAAACCCTATTTCTCCAACTGCACACACTGCTCGGCACCCTTCAAGCTAAGCCGGTAGTAGAGCACGAAGGCCACAAACGACTTCACACCAGCACAGATGTAATCGGAGATGAAGAGGAAAGCTGATCCGCGTCAGCCCGAAAATGAAGCTGGTATCACAACCTCAGCAAGTTTTCTCACACCAGCAGCGGTTGTAGTGCAGATACTAGAACTGGCCGCCACACCAAGCAGCAGCGGTTGTAACCCTTGAAGTTCAACTGGCCGCCTTGTCGCTGCTCGCCGCAGCACAAGCAAGGAGGGAGGACTATGTGGCACACGAGGCTTCCACACACCCAGGGCCACCTACTCTACTCTACACAAACACTCACACAGGACGAAGTTCAGTCCTCAGCCTCCACCGGACACCCTGAGATCAAGTCAAAGGGTCAGTAGGATTGGGCTCACACACTCACACACAAACACTGTCCTGAGGCTCTGGTTTCTGGCCTCGTAGCAAGCACTGTCGCCCCAGGACACAAAGGTCTAGGAACGGTAGTGCTCCGCTACCATGCAACTTTTCTCGAACCTTTAAGCGGCCTCCGCAGTGTGACTTCAACCTGTGCTATACAAGTTGGTCGGGGTAAAACATGGGTACTATGTAAGGGGTATGCATGTAGTTTTACATCTAGCAAAATCACAGCCCGCAACCACCTATGATGGTTTAGGGGTTAGGGTTTAGGGTTTAGGGTTTAGGGTTTAGGGTTTAGGGTTTAGGGTTTAGGGTGGTTTAGAGTTCTAGGCTATCGGTGGTCTGCGTATGAGAGGTCCTAAGGGCACATGCCCTACAGCGAGACTGCTAGATTCGGCATGGTCCTTGCTGACATGAGGGCTTGCAGGCTCCTTGCGTCAAAGGCTATCCTAAACCCTAAACCCTAAACCCTAAACCCTAAAACCTAAACCCTAAACCCTAGTCCTTAGACGAAATGAGGGTTTACGGAGTAGGGATTAGGGTTTAGGGTTTCAGGGAGTAGGTTTGGGGTTCAGGGTTCAGGATTCAGGAAGTAGGGTTTAGGGTTTACTCTATACGTACCCTAAGCTGTTGGCACTGAGGGTTTTAGGTTTGCTGGGGCCCTCATCAGCCTGCCGACCCGAAACCCTAAACCCTAAACCCTAAACCCTAATCCTCAACTCCTCGGAGAACCCAGCCTGTCCGGTTGTGGCTTTCTTTCCTGCTTAGCAGTTCGGCTGCTGTAAAGAATCCAGAGGACCAAACCAAGGTACACTTTTTCTAGTTCAAGTACTGGGGGGAATCTAAAACCCCAACACACCCAAAACGCTAAACCCCTCAAACCCAACAACCCCCAGGCTCTAAAACCCTAAAGCCGAAGCCCTGAACCCTAAACCCTAAACCCTAAACCCTAAACCCTAAACCCTAAAGCCGGAGCCTGAGCCTTATAGAAGTAAACCTAGAATCAAGGGTTGGAATTATGGGCCCTGAGTGTGGTCCCTTACCCTACTTTAAAGGGATTTATACAGGGATCCGAAGTATGGGCCCTTATTATGTGTAGTGTAGATAAGGGTTATATAACGGGATGCAAAATAAGGGCTCATACTTCGGATCGGTGGGCAGGGTGTTTTTGGGTTTTTAGAGTGTCTTCAGGGTTTTCAGGGTATCTTCAGGGCTTTTAGGCTTTTGAGGATTCAGTTTAGAGATATTAGGGTGTTACTTGAGGGTTTAGGGCGTTTTGGGGTATTGGGCTCAGTGGGTCCTTTGGGGTTTTGACGCTTTTTTTCAATACTATGGACCCGGACCAGCAGCAGTTCGCAAACGGATTACAGGTTAGAACTTAGCTTGGGCTTGAACCCTAAACCCTAAACCCTAAACCCTAAACCCTAAACCCTGAACCCTGAACCCTGAACCCTGAACCCTAAACCCCAAACCCTAACAAATAAACCCTTAACCCTAGCCCGAAACCATGTCGCAGTCAGGATTTGAAAAGAGCCTCGCAAGTAGGGACGGAAGGGCGAACAGCCCCATGAGTCCCACCGAAGCTAGCACAGTCGCTCAAGGATCCAGGCTTGCTTAGGGGCTACTTGGGCAAGAGGGTCTAGGGTTTCAGGGCTCAGGCTAGGTCAAACCCGACACCCTAAACCCCAAACCCTAAACCCCAAACGCTTTTGGGGTGTTCCTGCTCTATTGGTGCATGGATTCCTTGGAGTATCTTTGACAGAGCATTCGTGCAACGTGTGAGACGCGTGAACAGACCTGCACCGGGTGTGGGGTTGACGGGTTGAGGGTTTAGGGCTACTAGGACCCAGAGTAGGCCAAAGGGCACCCTCTTAATTCCTAGGCCAGCTACTCTTGGGTCTAGGTTGACGTAGACCCTGCAGCCCAAGTTTCATAGGATCCCCCCGTCCCTGAAGGCGCCCGTCCCTCCCCCTATTTCATAATGTTCAGCCCTGAACTTGAATTTTGGGTTGAGGGTTTAGGTTTAGGGCTTTTTTTAGGGTCTAGGGCTTAGGGTTTCTGAAGGGAGGGGGTTCATGGGGGGTAGGTTCCGAGCCTTAGGGAGTAGGGGAGTATTGGAGAACCTTGTGTTGCATACCCCTGTCTTAACAACCCTATAATGGAAGGGGAGAGGAGACACCAGCAAGGAAATCCTGTGCGCAGAAGGTTTGGGGGGGTTGTTGGCTTGAGGGTTTGGTTTTTAGCACCTGAAATCACTGAAGCCCGCCATGCTTAACCCTAGTTCCGAACAACTCTCAGGGGGGGTTTACGGGATGTTCGCGCTGCTGCTAGAGGGCAAATCCTGCTGCCTCGATTTGCTGGGGATCATAGCCAGGCCTTTTATAAACATTTAAAAGTCCTCTCCGAAGCACTCAAGGTCCTTAAACCCATGGATGCTACACACCCTGAAGCCCCAATCCTAGGGCCCCGAACCCGGAAACCCAGCGGTACTGGGGCTTCGTGGAGTTGGGCTTGGATTTGGACCCTAAACTCCAGACCGTTTGGGTTTAGGGTTTAGGGTTTAGGGTTTAGGGTTTAGGGTTTAGGGTTTAGGGTTTAGGGTTTAGGGTTTAGGGTTTAGGGTTCAGGGTTTAGGGTTTAGGGTTTAGGGTTTAGACCCTAAATCCTAAACCCGAAACCCTAAACACTTGGGCATCAGGTTGGCACCCCCGGTCGCAGTGGTGCAGGCAGGGTTTCAGGGCTTTTAGGGTTTAGGGTTTCGGGTTCAGGGTTTTAGGGTCTTAGGGCCTTAGGGCCTTAGGGTCTTAGGGTCTTGGGGTCTTAGGGTCATAGGGTCTTAGGGTCTTAGGGTCTTGGGGTCATCGGGTCTTCGGGTCGTCGGGTCTTCGGGCCTTCGGGTTTTCGGGTCTTCGGGTCTGAGGGTCTTAGCGTCTTAGGGTTTAGGGTTTAGGGTTTAGGGCGAGGCACCCTGCTTTAGGAGATCCCGGGGCAGCGTCCTTTTTGGTTCAGGGTTTCGGGTTTAGGGTTTGTAGAATTGTATACCGTTTGGGTCAAAAAGTTTTGAGCGAAACGTTTTGGGCGAAATGTTTTGAGCGAAACGTTTTGTCTTTTGGATCTACATTTTTTGGGCGAGGGGGGGCTGGGTGGGGGAGGGGCGCATCCGTTTCTGTGCGCCTACCCAAGCGGGAATTGCTGCTCCAGAGCGCTGGAATTCTCCAGTTTAAAGAAGGGCGTTGGAATCCGGGCCTTTGCGTACTTTTTGCTGTTTCTGGGTGGCTGCCCAGGGGGGGAAATGCTGCCTGCTTTTCTGGCGACGCGCTGGAATTCTTCATTTTTTGGCCGGGCCTTTGCGCGTTTTTTTTGCTGTTTCTGGGCCTGCCTAAGAGAGATGCTGCCTGTGTTTCTGGCAGAGCGCTGGAATTCTCCAATTTCTGGTGGGCATTGGAAGCCGGGCTTTTGCCTGCTTTTTGCTGTTTGTGTCCGCTAAAGGGGGAGACGCTGCCCGTTTTCTGGCAGAGCGCTGGAATTCTTCATTTCTCTGGCAGGGCGTTGGAATTTGGGCCCTTGCATATCTTTTGCTGTTTCCGGTGCCTGCCTAAAGCGGAGAGCGCTGGAATTCTCCATTTTCTGGCAGGGTGTTGATTCTTACTTTTTTGGCATGGGGTTGGAATCCGGGCCTTTGCGTGCTATTTTCGCTGTTTCTGGGTTTTGCCTACTTTTTCCTGTTTCTGGGTGCCTGCCAGAAACTGGAGAATTCCAGCGCGTTGCCAAACAACGGGCAGCATTTCCCCCTGAAGCAGGCGCCCAGAAACAAAAAAGTAGGCGAAGGCCCGGATTCCAACCTGCTCTGCCAGAAACACCGGCAGCGTTCCCCCCTTAGGCAGGCACCCAGAAACAGCAAAAAACACGCAAGACCCGGATTCCAGCCCCTTCCAGAATACCAGCGCTCTGCCAGAAAACGAGCAGCGTTTCCTCCTTAGGCAGGCACCCGGAAACAGCCAAAAGTACACAAAGGCCCGGATTCCAACGCCCTGCCAGAACACGCTGAACCCCTTGTAAACAATGCCCGTGGGACGCGAAGACACTACCTCAAGCGGCAGCGGTGTAGCCTAGCCTCCTAAATCTCTTCTTTCAGCTTTCGTGACAGCCCTTTCAGTCTCTGTAATCAGAGCGGCGGCTGCAATTTTTCTCACAGGTTGAGCAACGCTCAGCCCGATTCGGAGCTGCGTATCAGTGAGTGAGTGAGTGAGTGAGTGCCAGAACATGGAGAATTCCAGCGCTTTGTAATCAGGAAACCCAGGAACTAAGACCTAGGGCACTCATTGTAGCACACTTCCCCTAGTGATCCACGACGTCTGCTTGGGGACCAACTGCGAGCGCCAGACCCAGCTGTAGATGTGTTTGATGAGACGCACATTGTTTAAAGGGGCAAAAATGCCGCAAATAGCAGGATTTTTGGGCATGGTCGCAATATGGCATCGCACTTGTGACAGCGCGTTGTGCTGCTGAACATCAAACATCCTCCAGGAACATGTTGTATAAAGAGGCAAAACGCTGCAAATAGCAGGGTTTTTGGCATGTTCGCATTTGGCATGACCACTTGTGACTGCGCCTCGTGTTGCTGAACATCAAGCCATGAAGAGGCAAAAACGCCGTAGATAGCAGGGGTTGGGGATGGTTAGAGTAAAATGGTCGTGACCAACCCCCCCCCCCAACAAAAGCACACTCTCTCCGGACCGAACTTTCAAGACATGGGCAAATAGCAACGTGTCAGGGCTTAGGGCTTGAGGGTGGAACATCTTCACAAATCTTGCTTATGGAATCCAGCGTCTGCTTGGGGTCAGATAGAGGCGTCATATACCTTAACCGCAGGCCCCTAAACTCTAAACCCTAAATCCTAAACCCTAAACCATCGTGACGTGAAGCCTTGACTGTAAACCCCAACTCCTCGAAAACCTACTACAACTACAACTACCAGAAAAAAACCTAAAAACCCTAAGCCTCAAAGCCCTCAAGCCCTGCCTGACAACCCTGCCTTCAAAATCCTACAGCCCCAAGCCGTACAAACCCCTTTAAAGGCCCAAACAACGAGCCAGGGTTTCTAGGTTTTAGGCTTAAAACCCAAAACTCAAAGAGTTTCTAGGTTTTGAGGTTAAAGCCTAAAACAGAGAGCCAACAGAGGGTTCCTAGTGTTTAGGCTTAGAACCCAAAACACAAAGAGCTTCTAGGTTCTGGGGTTGGGCTTTGGGCGTTGAAGTCCTCAACCCTAAACCCTAAACCCTAAACCCTAAACCCTCAACGCCCGGGCAGGAGGTGGCTCATCCGTGCGACTACCCAGGGCATCTGGCTTGGACACCCTAGGGCTCAGGCTTTTTTAGGGTTTAGGGTTTAGGGTTTAGGGTTTAGGGTGGGTAGTTTCATGGGCCCTTAATATGGTGCCAGGTGTTTAGGGTACATCAGGGGCATATAAGGGGGGGAGCCCCGACTAAGGGACCATGAAACTACCCGGAGAGCTTCTGGTGTTGGAGTTTAGGGCTTTAGGGTTTTGGGCTGAGGGTTTGGGGTTTCGGACTTCGTGTCTGGGGTTTAAGGTTTGGGGTTTGCATAGGGCGTCTGGTGTTCAAGAGTTGACTGGTGTTGGTACAGCTTCTGGGCTTCACAGGGTGGAAGTTTCTGGGGTTCAGCTGAAGGTTTAGGGTTTGGGGTTTTAGGGCTTTAGGGTTGAGGGTTTCAGGGTTTAGGGGTATTTTTGGGGTGAAGGGTTTAGCTCAGGGTTTCAACGTCATGTTTAACATGCTGCCTCCGGGTCCCAGTTTGTTGTTGAGGGGGGCTTGCAAGGTAGCCCAGTATCCGAAGCGCTCTAAAGCCTTAAAGGCCCCAAACCCTAAACCCTAAACCCTAAGCGCTCTAAAGCCTTCAAGTCCCCAAACCCTAAAATCCTAGCCGCCCTCGGGGTGGCTTCGACTTCCCCCTCTAGACAGGCCTAGGAGAGATAAAACGGGTTTCCCTTTTCTTAAGGTTCGGAACCACCAAAAGGGAGCAACGAGGGCACCCCTCAAACCCCTAAACCCTAAACCCTAGACCCTAAACCCTAAACCCCAAACCCCAAGCCCCAATGCCCAAGCTTCGGTACAAACTGCAGCAAGAGACCCCTCAAGGCTCTTGGCAAAATAGGGTTCAGGGTTTAGGCTCACGGATTAGTGCTTAGAGGGTTTAGGGTTTAGGGTTTAGGGTTTAGGGTTTAGGGTTTAGGGTTTAGGGTTTAGGGTTTAGGGTTTAGGGTTTAGGGTTTAGGGTTTAGGGTTTAGGGCCGTTTAGGGTTTAGGGCTTAGGGTTTAGGGTTTAGTTAGGGGTTTACGCCCTAAGCCCGCAGCCTAAGAGTTGAAATTGCCTGGGAGTTGCTTGACGGCTTGAAGGGGTGTGTCGGATCATGGGACTTGGGGCAGTTGGGGGCCGGGGGGGGGGGGGCTGGCTTCCGCGCATCAACACGCGGGGTTTCGGGTTTAGGGTTTAGGGTTTAGGGTTGTTGGTGCAGGGTCTCTTTGGGATTGAGGGTTTCGGTTTGGATTCTGAGTTCATTTTCGGGGTCTAGGGCAACTGCAAAACATCACCCCAGCACCTCAGAAAAGTTCACCCAAACCCTAAACCCGAAACCCCAAAACATCCCGAAACCCAAAAAGCCAAGGAAAAACAAACCCTTGAAACCACCAAAACCCAAAACCCCAATCGCTGAACCTAAACTTGGGATGTTTCCCCTTATACTACCAGTGTAGACTAACAGTCCTGAAAAAGAGTTTAGTAGGGGGTACTATACTCCATCTGAAGGACTGTTAGTATAAGGGGGAACATCCCTGAACCGCAAAAACCCATAGCCCTGATTTTTGGGTTTTGTGTTTAGGGTTTAGAATTTAGGTTTAGAGTTTAGGGTTAAGGTTTTAGGGCAAAATCGCTCCAGAATGCCCATCCGGCCAAGGCTGCTGTCGCCAGCCTACGGGAGTAGGCGCTCACAATTTTTGGGAGCAAAGAGTTTTGTTGGGTTTTAGGTGGCTCCCCAAACCCCAAACCCCAAACCCCAAGCCCCAAACCCCAATTCCGGTTAGGATGCTTAGAGGTTGGGGGCTTCTAGGGCTTAGGGTTTAGGGTTTAGGGTTAGAGGTTAGGGGCTTCTAGGGCTTAGGGCCTTTAAAGCTCCTAGGACCACAAGTTGCTTGTGATCACACGGGAGATTCAACTGCCCTGACGAATTCAGCTTTAATGAGGACTTGGTAGCCCAGAGGTACCCTTTTTTCCCTTTATTTGGGGTTTAGGGTTTAGGGTTTAGGGTTTGGGGTTTGGGGTTTGGGGTTTAGGGTTTAGGGTTTGGGGTTTGGGGTTTAGTCCCTTTTTTGGGTTCAAGGTTCCCTTATAAAGTAACCAACCCAAAAAGGGTGCCTGTATTAAAATATGGTTACTGGGCTACTAAGAGGAAGAAATAGCCCAGAGTCTTCGATTGCAGAATGTGGTGTGGCTTACGATCTGGGATGGGCTTGCTTATTTTCCTCCAAGGAAAGCTGTAGGGTTTAGGCGTTTGAGGTTAAAGGGTCTAGGAGTTTGGGGGCTTTCTTACAGCGGAAGCTTCCTTGATCCCTAAACTCTAAACCTTCAGCCGTCGCACACGGCAGAAGATTCAGGTCCTTGTGCGAGTTAGTAAAGAACCGATGTGTCGGATCCTACACCTCACATCATTCGAGTCCACCCTGCACCCTAAACCCTAAACCCTAAACCCTAAAACCTAAACCCTAAACCCTAAACCCTAAACCCTAAACCCTAAACCCTAAACCCTAAACCCTAAACCCTAAACCCTAAACCCTAAACCCTAAACCCTAAACCCTAAACCCTAAACCCTAAACCCTAAACCCTAAACCCAAATCTAAGGGCAGCCACATGGTCCCCTAGTATGGTCCATTACCTCCTGCGAGGGCTCCGAAGTATGGGCCCTTGGGTTTTGCAGGGTATACACCTCTTAGGGTTTAGGGTTTAGGGTTTAGGGTTTAGGGTGTTCCCCAACTAAGGGCACACATTGGGGGATCATGTGACTATCCCTAAACCCTAAACTATAATTTGCTCAAGATTTAGGGTTTAGGCCGAAAGTAGCTGTCGTGTTGCGCAGGGCACGCGCTTTGCCCCATCCCGGCTTGTCAGGATGCATCTCCAGGTTCAACAAGGCTTTAGGGTTTAGGGTTTAGGGTTTAGGGTTTAGGGTTTAGGGTTTAGGGTTTAGGGTTTAGGGTTTAGGGTTTAGGGTTTAGGGTTTAGGGTTTAGGGGTGGACCGTGGGATCCATGCACACTTGGCGTGCAGGGGATCTCACACACCGTTGGCGAGGCTAGTGCAAAAAGTATTCTGTTGTGGTATATTAATGTTGGGAAAGGATACTGGGGGACTCGGAGGGGGGGGGGGGGTCTCAAGACAGGGGGAGGGGTAGCAAGGGTAGTAAAGTCTGAGAGTTTTGGGGTTTAGGGTTTAGGGTTTAGGGTTTAGGTTCAGGGGCTTGGGGTTTTTAGTTGGGTGGCTCATATGGCTTGGTTTTCTTGTAGGGGCCTTAGGGCTCGAAATCCCGAAGCCTTTTTCATATATGTATATATATGAAATCTTTGATGTATATGTATGCATATATGTATGTATAGATGTATATATTGATATTTATATAATATAAATAACTAAATAAACATGTATATATATATATGTATATATATATATATATATATATATATTACACATATATAGATATAGATATAATCGTTCTGTATGTTTAGCTCCAGCATTCTTAGAGTTCGGTGCTTTTCTGTGAGAGCGGCAGGTCCATCTTCGCCCAAGCACCTTGCGATGGGACCTCAGTGTGTCTACGGTTTAGGGTTTAGGGTTTAGGGTCTAGGGTTTTGGGTTTTGGGGTTTAGGTTTTAGGGTTTAGGTGTTCGGGCTTATAGGGTTTGGGTTTGGGGTTTAGCGTTTAGGGTTTATATAGGGTTTACCAGGGTTTTGCTGATCCTAGAACCCAAGAAACCGTACAATGCCCTGAGCCTCAACCCCCTGAAGCCTGAAGCTTCCGCATTTCTCTCCACTCTATTTGCAAGCCTCCAGCACCTTCGGCGGCACCCTATTTTTATGCCCTGTTTGTCCTTAAAACCCTAAACCCTGAACCCTAAACCCTAAACCCTAACCCCTCATCCCACATCGAAGAGCAAAGCATTGATCAAACAAATGGGCATGCCATGCTCGTCCGGAGCCTCCGAAGGTTCATCGAGGCCCTAAACCCTAAACCCTAAACCCTAAACCCTAAACCCTAAACCCTAAACCCTAAACCCTAAACCCTAAACCCTAAACCCTAAACCCTAAACCTGTTTAGGTTTACTAGGGTTACTAGGATATCTGGGGTTACCAACGTTGCTAGGGTTACTAGGGTTACTAGGGTTCCTAGGGTTACTAGGGTTTAGGGCCTTGAGGGTTGAGGGTTGGGGCGTTGTCTCCGGCGCAATCGAACTGAGAAGTGCCTCCATTGACAATTGGGGAGGGTATAGAGATTAGGGGTTTCGAGGTCTAGGTTTTAGAGGTTAGGGGTTTAGGGGTTTTGGGCTTAGGGGTTTGGGGGTTTAGGGGTCTAGGGGTTTTGGGGTTTTGGGGTTTAGGGGTTTGGGGTTTTGGGGTTTACACGGGAACCCAAGGCCTGGGAAACGCATCAGGACATCACGGCAAGTGGTCGAACAAGCCCACTCAGCACCCGCAGTGGCCTTCCTACATACATTCCGAACCCTAAACCCTGAACCGTAAGCCCCTAAACCCCTAAACCCCTAAATCCCTAAACCCCAAAACTCCAAAACCCCTAACCCCTAACCCCTCAAAACCTAAAGCCCCAAAACCCGAACACCCCAACACATCAAAACCCTGAGTGTTGAAGCTGGCAAAAAACTGCTGAAGCCCATACACACCCTGGGAGCACAATCGGGTCTCGGGTTTTAGGGATGTAGGGTTTGGGGTTTGGGGTTTGGGGTTTGGGGTTTTCGGGGTTTAGGGTTTAGGGTTTAGGGTTAGGGTTTAGGGTTTACGGTTTAGGGTTTAGGGCTTAGGGTTTAGGGCTTAGGGCTTAGGGTTTAGGGTGTAGGGTGTAGGGTGTAGGGTGCAGGGTTTCGGTTTAGGGTTTAGGCCCCATTTTGACGTTTTGGGCGTCATCCAGGCGTCACCCAGGGTTCCGCCGGCGTCGCCTTCAGGCCGGCCGAGGATATGTGTGCCCTAAACCCCGAAACCCTAAACCCTAAACCCTAAACCCAGAGGTCATAGTGTTTGAGGCTAACAGTAGAGAGCCCAGTTTAGGAGAATGGGATATGGGGTGGAGCTCAGACTCACATTGCCAGGGTTTGGGGTGTAGGAATGTAGGGCTTAGGCAGAACACACCATCGTACGATGTATTCCCTTCTTGTTGTGTTCCTGCAAATCCTAAACCCCGAAAACCCTTCAAGCCTCCTAAACCCTAACCCCCCCGCCGCCCCGCCCCCCCCCTCCCCCCCCAAAAGAAGAAATCCCAATCCTAAAGCCCTAAACCCTAAACCCTAAACCCTAAACCCTAAACCCTAAACCCTAAACCCTAAACCCTAAACACCCGAACCCCTCTCAAGAGGCTCCATGCTGATGCCGTCGCGCGCCTCGCTGGTGCCGGGCGGATCCCTGCACGTGGCGCGGGCCCTGGGAAGCTGAATCTCCTGTTCGGGTTTAGGGTTTAGGGTTTAGGGTTTAGGGTTTAGGGTTTAGGGTTTAGGGTTTGGGGTTTAGGGTTTAGGGTTTAAGGTGTAGGGTTTAGGGTTTACGGCTTAGGGTCCTGGGAAGTCGATTCTTGCTGTTGATTTCATGTTGTTTAGGGTTTTAGTGTTTTAGGGTTTTAGGGCTGTAGGGTTTTAGGGCTTTAGGGTTTTAGGTTTTAGGGTTTTTGGGTTTTAGAGTTTTAGGGTTTAGGGTTTTAGGGTTGGGTTTTGGGGTTTAGGGTTTTGGGTTTGGGGTTTATGGTTTAATTAGGGATTCAGAGGTTTAGGGCTGATAGTGGCTTTCAGCACCTGCAGGGCTTGTAGCGCGCCAGAGCTTGTTCCTTTGCCGGCTTAGTACGGTCCATGTAACTACCCTAAGAGTAAAGGACTAAAGGAGGGACCCTCATGACGGAGCTTTGGGGAAAACTAGGGGCCTACTTAAGATTCTATACGGTATATAAGGCACGAAGATTCAGGGTCCCTTCTAGGGAGTAATAGGCTTAGGGTTTAGGGTTTATGGTTTAGGGCTTAGCGGTTTGCATCCTTTGACTAGACAAGGTTTCCCAGGCAAAGTGCGCCAAGCATGGGCGACCTTCCCGCCCGCAGCCTCAACATCAACATCTATGCACCCTGGGAGCCCCTCTCGACCCCCCGAAATACTCTATACAAGTAATGGGTCTACTACACCCCTCTGTACTACTCCCCCTAGGCCCCCCCCCCCCCCCTCCCCCCCGTTACATGACCTTAACTCGGCTTAATTATCCCCAGACAGCCTTAACTATGTAGGGGGGAGGGAAGTATAGAGGGGGGTAGTAGGGGAACTCATGAGGTCGTGCCCCCTATACAAGGGGTGAGGGTTGCGGTGCATCCTAAAGCCCCGAGCCCCAAGATGCTAGTCCCCAAAACCGAAACCCCAAACCCGAAACCCCAAACCCTAAACCCCAATTCGGGTTCTGCGGCTCTCGACATGCTGAGCAGCTCTAGCTGAGAGTTATCTTATTCTCAGAGCTTAGGGGCTTTGGGGCGCTAAGCCCTAGGGCCCTAAACCCTGAGCCCTAAACCCTAAACCCTACTAAATCCTAAATCCTAAACCCTAAACCCTAACCCTAAACCCTAAACCCTAAACCCTAAAACCCAACAAGGCCTAGAAACCCCTAAGAGTCCCTAACACGCCTTCGTTGCGTCAGGCCCCACCCTTTGAGCAGAGGACGCCTTCTCCGTGCGGGTGCCCTGCCTCAAGAGGGCGGTTTAGGGTTTAGGGTTTAGGGTTTAGGGTTTAGGGTTTAGGGTTTAGGGTTCAGGGTTTAGGGTTTAGGGGTTCAGGGTTGAAGGGCTTGTACCCTAAACTCTAAACCCTCAGCGCTAAACCCGGGCATTGAGGGTTTGTAGTGTGTGGCGTTCAGCGTCTCTAGGGTTTGGAGGGCTTAGGGCTCAGCGGCTTAGCGCTTGGAGGGCTTGGGGTTCAGAGTTCTTCAGGTTGAGGCCTTTAGGATTTATCAGGTTGGGGGTCTCAATGCTAAACCCTGAACCTTACGGCTTGGTTGCGGTATGAGGGTGTAGGGTTGTTAAGGCTTTGGGTGATGTTCTGTGGCTTTGGGTCTCAGGTTTTTGGATGTCGGATCAGGATCAGGACCTTGCAGTACTTACAGTACTTTGGGTGTTCCTAAACCCTAAACCCTTTACCCTGAACCCTGAACCCTAAACCCTGAACCCTAAGTGTGTAGGGTCGGGCGCTCGCGCTTGGAGTTTCCGGCTTGTGGGCTGATGAGGGCTTGTTGAGGCACCTTAGGGTTTGCTAGGGGCTCATTAGGGCTTGTTAGACCTAAGTTTAGGGTCTAGGGTCAGGGTGGGGGATTTTTTTGAAAGAGAATTATGTATGGGTACAAGGGGGGGATAAGGACCCTGCACCCAACATGTGAGGGGCCCTGAAGAATACTTAAAAGTCATGTTATCGGGTTGGCAAGTCATGTTATATGCTTAATATCGGGTATCTTCTTAGTAACGACATCTCGAGAATACAGATCTTGCAACTACACACTTGCTGCTGAAAGCTGTGTAGGAGAAGCGGATCAAACCAAAAGCGCATTTTATGTGGTTAGGGTTTAGGGTTTAGGGTTTAGGGTTTAGGGTTTAGGGTTTAGGGTTTAGGGTTAAGGGTTTAGGGTTTAGGGTTACACCCTGCTGTCACATGATATTCTAACCTCTTACTTCCCGTGGAGAGACACGTTGGGTCAGTTGGGCTACCAGCAGTCTATGTGGAGGGCCTCAATGCAACCCTAAACCCTAAATCCTAAACCCTAAACCCTAATCCCTAAACCCGAATCCCTGAACCCTAAGCCCGAAACCCTAGACCCTAGACCCTAAACCCTAAACCCTAAACCCTAAACCCTAAACCCTAAACCCTAAACCCTAAACCCTAAACCCTAAACCCTAAACCCTAAACCCTAAACCCTAAACCCTAAACCCTAAACCCTAAACCCTAAACCCTAAACCCTAAACCCTAAACCCTAAACCCTAAACCCTAACCCTAAACCCTAAACCCTACCCGTGAATCCTACATCCTGCTACCCTCATACCCAATGTTTGTACAAGAGTAGTCCTTGGCAATCCCAATACTACCAATTTCTTAAGAACCACGAAAAAAACACAATTCCTCCTTATTGTTAAGGGGAACATAGGGGTTACTATTTTTCTTTTGGGGTTCCTAAGCAAATAATAGAATATGGGGGTGTCCGAAAATGGGGGTACCCTTCTTCGGGGGCACTTGAAGGGGATTCTAGTCTATTTGGGGTCTAAAAGGGTAGCCTTACTTTGGCAGATACCCATACTCTCAGTGGCCACCATTAAAGGCTACTAGTTTGGGTTCACTGTTCCTAAACCCTAAACCCTGATCCCTGAACCCTAGACCCTAAACCCCTCAGGTTTCCCCACATTTTGCCAATAAGCCCGTCGGCAAGCCGGTGGGCTCCTGTCGATTTTGTTTCCAGCAAGGAGGTTTAGGATTTACGGCTTAGGATTCAGGATTTAGGGTTTAGGGTTTACGGTTTAGGGTTTAGGGTTTAGGGGTTCACCCCAAACCTTAAACTTTAGCCCTACACCCTGAACCCTGAACCCTAACCTACTGAAGAGCATCCTCGGGAGGGTGGTCTCTGGCGGCTCTCTCCGAGTGATTCCCAACAGGCTCGTCACTGATTGGGAGGAAGTTTGGTCTTATCCTTTAGGGTTTAGGGTTTAGGGTTTAGGGTTTAGGGTTTAGGGTTTAGGGTTTAGGGTTTAGGGTTTAGGGTTTAGGGTTTCACCTTTTTCAGCTGCCTTCAAGTAGTTTTGTGTATCGATGTCCACTCTGCACATGAACTTGCATCCGATGCATCTCTGCCTGCCTTGTTCCTCGCACCTGACTTGGGTACTCCTGCAGACCTGAAGTATCGTGGCAAGAGATGATTAAACCCTAAACCCTACACCTAAACCCTAAACCCTAAACCCTAAACCCTAAACCCTAAACCCTAAACCCTAAACCCATGTCAGGGTTGAAAGGTTTAGGGGTGCGTGACTGGCAATCAAACCCTTGGTCTCTGATTTTCAAGCAGCCAAAGCTGCAGACTTAAAACCTGCAAGTCCTACATCTGCCGGGTAGGATCTTGAGATGTTTCATGATGAGTTCCCTCATTGGGTTTAAGAGGCAATATATATATATATATATACATGTGAGAGGGACCTTTTGGGTCCATTTCACGTATATCACTTGTATGAGGAATTTAATTTATTTACCTATTAATTTCTTTAATTTCTTTAATTTCTGGGGCTCTCTTAGGGAAATAAATGAAATTAAAGAAATTAATTAATTTCATTAATTTCTTTAATTTCTGGGCCTCTCTGTGCGAAATTAAAGAAATTAATGAAATTAATTATTTCTTTAATTTCATTAATTTCTTTAATTTATTTTAATTAGTCCCGTGAGCCGGGGGGGCTCCCCCAATTAATTTCTTTAATTTCTTTAATTTCTGGGCCTCTCTGTGAGAAATTAAAGAAATTAAAGAAATTAATTCAGGTAGCCCTTCGGGCTTGCGAGACTAATTAAAAGAAATTAAAGAAATTAAAGAAATTAAAGAAATTAATGAAATTAATTAATTTCTTTAATTTCTTTAATTTCTGGGACTCTCTGTGAGAAATTAAAGAAATTAAAGAAATTAATTAATTTCATTAATTTCTTTAATTTCTGGGCCTCTCTGTGAGAAATTAAAGAAATTAAAGAAATTAATTAATTTCATTAATTTCTTTAATTTCTGGGCCTCTCTGTGTGAAATTAAAGAAATTAAAGAAATTAATTAATTTCTTTAATTTCATTAATTTCATTAATTTCTTTAATTTATTTTAATTAGTCCCGTGAGCCGGGGGGCACCCCCCAATTAATTTCTTTAATTTCTTTAATTTCTGGGCCTCTCTGTGACAAATTAAAGAAATTAAAGAAATTAATTCCGGTAGCCCTTCGGGCTTGCGAGACTAATTAAAAGAAATTAAAGAAATTAAAGAAATTAATGAAATTAAAGAAATTAATGAAATTAATTAATTTCTTTAATTTCTTTAATTTCTGGGCCTCTCTGTGAGAAATTAAAGAAATTAAAGAAATTAATTAATTTCATTAATTTCTTTAATTTCTGGGCCTCTCTGTGAGAAATTAAAGAAATTAAAGAAATTAATTAATTTCACTAATTTCTTTAATTTCTGGGCCTCTCTGTGCGAAATTAAAGAAATTAAAGAAATTAATTAATTTCTTTAATTTCTTTAATTTCATTAATTTCTTTAATTTATTTTAATTAGTCCCGTGAGCCGGGGGGGCCCCCCCAATTAATTTCTTTAATTTCTTTAATTTCTGGGCCTCTCTGTGAGAAATTAAAGAAATTAAAGAAATTAATTCCGGTAGCCCTTCGGGCTTGCGAGACTAATTAAAAGAAATTAATGAAATTAAAGAAATTAAAAATTAATGAAATTAATTAACTTCTTTAATTTCTTTAATTTCTGGGCCTCTCTGTGAAAAATTAAAGAAATTAAAGAAATTAATGAATTTCATTAATTTCTTTAATTTCGGGGCCTCTCTGTGAGAAATTAAAGAAATTAAAGAAATTAATTAATTTCATTAATTTCTTTAATTTCTGGGCCTCTCTGTGCGAAATTAACGAAATTAAAGAAATCAATTAATTTCTTTAATTTCATTAATTTCATTAATTTCTTTAATTTATTTTAATTAGTCCCGTGAGCCGGGGGGGGCCCCCCAATTAATTTCTTTAATTTCTTTAATTTCTGGGCCTCTCTGTGAGAAATTAAAGAAATTAAAGAAATTAATTAATTTCATTAATTTCTTTAATTTCTGGCCCTCTCCGTGAGAAATTAAAGAAATTACATAATTTCATTAATTTCTTTAATTTCTGGGCCTCTCTGTGCGAAATTAAAGAAATTAAAGAAATTAATTAATTTCTTTAATTTCATTAGTTTCATTAATTTCTTTAATTTATTTTAATTAGTCCCGTGAGCCGGGGGGGCTACCCCAATTAGTTTCTTTGATTTCTTTAATTTCTGTGCCTCTCTGTGAGAAATTAATGAAATTAACGAAATTAATTCCGGTAGCCCTTCGGGCTTGCGAGACTAATTAAAAGAAATTAATGAAATTAAAGAAATTACAGAAATTAAAGAAATTAATTAATTTCTTTAATTTCTTTAATTTCTGGGCCTCTCTGTGAGAAAATATAGAAATTAAAGAAATTAATTAATTTCATTAATTTCTTTAATTTCTGGGCCTCCCTATGAGAAATTAAAGAAATTAAAGAAATTAATTAATTTCATTAATTTCTTTAATTTCTGGGCCTCTCTGTGCGAAATTAAAGAAATTAAGGAAATTAATTAATTTCTTTAATTTCATTAATTTCATTAATTTCTTTAATTTATTTTAATTAGTCCCGTGAGCCGGGGGGGGGGGGCCAATTAATTTCTTTAATTTCTTTAATTTCTGGGCCTCTCTGTGAGAAATTAAAGAAATTAAAGAAATTAATTCCGGTAGCCCTTCGGGCTTGCGAGACTAATTAAAAGAAATTAAAGAAATTAAAGAAATTAAAGAAATTAAAGAAATTAATGAAATTAATTAATTTCTTTAATTTCTTTAATTTCTGGGCCTCTCTGTGAGAAATTAAAGAAATTAAAGAAATTAATTAATGTCATTAATTTCTTTAATTTCTGGGCCTCTCTGTGAGAAATTAAAGAAATTAATGAAATTAATTAATTTCATTAATTTCTTTAATTTCTGGGCCTCTCTGTGCGAAATTAAAGAATTTAAAGAAATTAATTAATTTCTTTAATTTCATTAATTTCATTAATTTCTTTAATTTATTTTAATTAGTCCCGTGAGCCGGGGGGGGGGCCCCCAATTAATTTCTTTAATTTCTTTAATTTCTGGGCCTCTCTGTGAGAAATTAAAGAAATTAAAGAAATTAATTCCGGTAGCCCTTCGGGCTTGCGAGACTAATTAAAAGAAATTAATGAAATTAAAGAATTAAAGAAATTAATGAAATTAATGAAATTAATGAAATTAATTAATTTCTTTAATTTCTCCAATTTCTGGGCCTCTATGTGAGAAATTAAAGAAATTAAAGAAATTAATTAATTTCATTAATTTCTTTAATTTCTGGGCCTCTCTGTGAGAAATTAATGAAATTAATTTCTGTAGTTTCTCTACTTTCAGAGCCTATCTGTGAGAAATCAAAGAAACTAAATACATTAATCAATTTCTTTAATTTGATCAATTTCATTAATTTCTTTTATTTAAACTAATCCCGTGAGCCGGGTAATTAATTTTTGTAATTTCTTTATTTTCTAGGCCTCTCTGTGAGAAATTAAAGAAATTAACAAAAAACATCCGGTAGCCGCGTGGGGTTGCGAGACTAACTAAAAGAAATTAAAGAAAGTAATGAAATTAATTAATTTCTCTGGCTTTTTAATTGCTAAGCCTCTCTGTGAGAAATTAGAGAAATTCAAGCAATTAACCATCCTCTTTAATTTCTTGATTTTCTGGGCCTCTTTAAGCCTTCGTGCATCTTTATCGCGTTCCCTTTTCTATCCCCTTACTTTCGTGCTGAAACCATCACCCTTTCTTTCCCTTACTTTCCCCATTCATCCCTTAAAGAAAGGGACGCCTTCAAGATGTAGGAAGGATTTTTCATATAGTTGTGTGTACAATGGCTTGGTACTAGCGCTCTAATTTTCAAGAAGCTGTTTTGCATGTAATGTGTGTCACGAGTTTGCTACGTTCATAGGCAGACTATGTAAATACACCCTCTCTAAACAAACCATTTTCCCTAAACCCTGAACCCTAAACTCTAAACCCTAAACCCTAAACGCTCAAAGACTCCTACGGCCTCCAGGCCCTCTAAGAATCCCAAGTTCTCTAAGACTCCCAAGCCCCCTACACTTCCTAAGGCCCCGAAGCTCCCCAGGCCCCCTGAGCCCGCCAAGCCTCCTTAAGTCCCGTAAGCTCCCTAAGCTGTCGAAGCCCCCTTACTCCCTAAACAATTTCGCAGAGCAAGCAGACAGAATTTCAGGACTACAAGCAATCGGTCATGAGCTGTCCTGCAGGCAACGCCTCCACCCAAAGCGTAACTTAAAATTTCCCTGATGTTTCCCTGTTGCGCTTTTTTTTGGCCCCGATTGTTTCAGGGAAGTTTTCCCTTGAAACCCCTGTGTAGTACTCAACGCACCGCAAATCGATGCTTTCGGGCCAATCGTCTTCTAGTTTAAATTAGTCCCGTGAGCCGGGTGGGCTCCCCCAATTAATTTCTTTAATTTCTTTAATTTCTGGGTCTCTCTGTGAGAAATTAAAGAAATTAAAGAAATAAAAAAGAAATTAAAGAAATTAATTCAGGCAGCCGTTCGGGCTTGCGAGACTAATTAAAAGAAATTAATGAAATTAAAGAAATTAAAGAAATTAATGAAATTAATGAAATTAATTAATTTCTTCAATTTCTTTAATTTCTGGGCCTCTCTGTGAGAAAATTAAAGAAATTAAAGAAATTAATTAATTTCATTAATTTCTTTAATTTCGGGGCCTCTCTGTGAGAAATTAAAGAAATTAAAGAAATTAATTAATTTCATTAATTTCTTTAATTTCTGGGCCTCTCTGTGCGAAATTAAAGAAA